TCTGTGCTGACAGGTACTCTGTGACAGTGAAACATGAGTGTACTTACAGAATACCCCTTCTGTGCTGACAGGTACTCTGTGACAGTGAAACATGAGTGTACTTACAGAATACCCATTCTGTGCTGACAGGTACTCTGTGACAGTAAAACATGAGTGTACAGAATACCCCCTCTGTGCTGACAGGTACTCTGTGACAGTGAATCATGAGTGTACTTACAGAATACCCATTATGTGCTGACAGGTACTCTGTGACAGCGAAACATGAGTGTACTTACAGAATACCCATTCTGTGCTGACAGGTACTCTGTGACAGTGAAACATAAGTGTACTTACAGAATACCCCCTCTGTGCTGACAGGTACTCTGTGACAGTGAAACATGAGTGTACTTACAGAATACCCCTTCTGTGCTGACAGGTACTCTGTGACAGTAAAACAAGAGTGTACTTACATAATACCCCCTCTGTGCTGACAGGTACTCTGTGACAGTAAAACATGAGTGTACTTACAGAATACCCCCTCTGTGCTGACAGGGACTCTGTGACAGTGAAACATGAGTGTACTTACAGAATACCCCCTCTGTGCAGACAGGTACTCTGTGACAGTGAAACATGAACGTACTTACAGAATACCCATTCTGTGCTGACAGGTACTCTGTGACATTGAAACATGAGCGTACTTACAGAATACCCCCTCTGTGCTGACAGGTACTCTGTGGCAGTGAAACATGAGTGTACTTACAAAATACCCCCTCTGTGCTGACAGGTACTCTGTGACAGTGAAACATGAGTGTACTTACAGAATACCCCCTCTGTGCTGACAGGTACTCTGTGACAGTGAAACATGAGTGTACTTACAGAATACCCCCTCTGTGCTGACAGGTACTCTGTGACAGTGAAACATGAGTGTACTTACAGAATACCCCCTCTGTGCTGACAGGTACTCTGTGACAGTGAAACATGAGTGTACTTACAGAATACCCCCTCTGTGCTGACAGGTACTCTGTAACAGTGAGGAGGGCATTGATTGTAGCACCCCCACTACCAACACTTGACTTGGGATCCTCAACCGTTAGTAACAGGACATCTTTATCTATCTGACCCTTTGCTTGGCGAATTTGTAACTCTGGAAAATAAAAACATATCTAATGTCAATCACCACAGCTAAATACCTATTGATGGCAGGTACCTGTCTGTATGGTGTTTGTTACCTGTCTGTATGGTGTTTGTTACCTGTTTGTATGGTGTTTGTCACCTGACTGTATTGTGTATGTTACCTGTCTGTATGGTGTTTGTTACCTGTCTGTATGATATGTGTTACCTGTCTGTATAGTGTTTGTTACCTGTCTGTATAGTGTTTGTTACTTGTTTGTATAGTGTTTGTTACTTGTTTGTATAGTGTTTGTTACCTGTTTGTAAGGTGTTTGTTACCTGTCTGTATGGTGTTTGTTCCCTGTCTATATAGTGTTTGTTACCTGTCTGTAAGGTGTTTGTTACCTGTTTGTATGGTGTTTGTCACATGACTGTATTGTGTATGTTACCTGTCTGTATGGTGTTTGTTTCCTGTCTGTATGATATGTGTTACCTGTCTGTATAGTTTTTGTTACCTGTTTGTAAGGTGTTCGTTTCCTGTCTGTATAGTGTTTGTTACATGTTTGTATAGTGTTTGTTACCTGTCTTTATAGTGTTTGTTACCTGTCTGTGTAGTGTTTGTTACCTGTCTGTATAGCGTTTGTTACCTGTCTGTATAGTGTATGTTACCTGTTTGTATAGTGTTTGTTCCCTGTATGTATAGTGTTTGTTACCTGTCTTTATAGTGTTTGTTACCTGTCTGTAAGGTGTTTGTTACCTGTTTGTATGCTGTTTGTCACCTGACTGTATTGTGTGTGTTACCTGTCTGTATGGTGTTTGTTCCCTGTCTATATAGTGTTTGTTACCTGTCTGTCTAGTGTTTGTTACTTGTTTGTATCGTGTTTGTTACTTGTTTGTATAGTGTTTGTTAACTGTTTGTAAAGTGTTTGTTCCCTGTCTGTATAGTTTTTGTTACCTGTCTGTATGGTGTTCGTTCCCTGTCTGTATAGTGTTTGTCACCTGTCTGTATAGTGTTTGGTACCTGTCTGTATGGTGTTTGTTTCCTGTCTGTATGATATGTGTTACCTGTCTGTATAGTTTTTGTTACCTGTTTGTAAGGTGTTCGTTTCCTGTCTGTATAGTGTTTGTTACATGTTTGTAAGGTGTTTGCTACCTGTCTGTATAGTGTTTGTTTCCTGTTTGTAATGTGTTTGTTACCTGTCTGTATAGCGTTTGTTACCTGTTTGTATAGTGTTTGTTGCCTGTCTGTATAGTGTTTGTTACATGTTTGTATAGTGTTTGTTACCTTTTTGTAAGGTGTTTGTTACCTGTTTGTATGGTGTTTGTTACGTATGATATGTGTTACCTGTCTGTATAGTTTTTGTTACCTGTTTGTAAGGTGTTCGTTTCCTGTCTGTATAGTGTTTGTTATCTGTCTGTATAGTGTTTGTTACTTGTTAGTATGGTGTTTGTTACCTGTTTGTAAGGTGTTTGTTCCCTGTCTTTATAGTGTTTGTTACCTGTCTGTAAGGTGTTTGTTACCTGTTTGTATGCTGTTTGTCACCTGACTGTATTGTGTATGCTACCTCTCTGTATGGTGTTTGTTACCTGTTTGTATGGTGTTTGTTACGTATGATATGTGTTACCTGTCTGTATAGTTTTTGTTACCTGTTTGTAAGGTGTTCGTTTCCTGTCTGTATAGTGTTTGTTATCTGTCTGTATAGTGTTTGTTACCTTTCTGTATAGTGTTTGGTACCTGTCTGTATGGTGTTTGTTCCCTGTCTGTATAGGGTTTGTCACCTGTTTGTATAGTGTGTGTTCCCTGTCTGTATAGTGTTTGTTACATGTTTGTATAGTGTTTGTTACCTGTCGGTATAGTGTTTGTTACCTGTTTGTGTATAGTGTTTGTTACCTGTCTTTATAGTGTTTGTTACCTGTCTGTAAGGTGTTTGTTACCTGTTTGTATGGTGTTTGTCACCTGACTGTATTGTGTGTGTTACCTGTCTGTATGGTGTTTGTTCCCTGTCTATATAGTGTTTGTTACCTGTCTGTAAGGTGTTTGTTACCTGTTTGTATGCTGTTTGTCACCTGACTGTATTGTGGATGTTACCTGTCTGTATGGCGTTTGTTCCCTGTCTGTATAGTGTCTGTTACTTGTTTGTATAGTGTTTTTTCCCTGTTTGTAAGGTTTTTTTACCTGTCTGTATAGTGTTTGTCACCTGTTTGTATATTGTTTGTTCCCTGTCTGTATAGTTTTTGTTACCTGTTTGTAAGGTGTCTGTATAGTGTTTGTTACTTGTTAGTATGGTGTTTGTTACCTGTTTGTATGGTGTTTGTTACCTGTCTGTATGATATGTGTTACCTGTCTGTATAGTTTTTGTTACTTGTTTGTATGGTGTTTGTCACCTGACTGTATTCTGTATGTTACCTGTCTGTATGGTGTTTGTTACCTGTCTGTATGGAGTTTGTTCCCTGTCTGTATAGTGATTGTTACCTGTCTGTATAGTGCTTGTTACCTGTCTGTATAGTGTTCGTTACTTGTTTGTATAGTGTTTGTTAACTGTTTGTAAAGTGTTTGTTCCCTGTCTGTATAGGGTTTGTCACCTGTTTGTATAGTGTGTGTTCCCTGTCTGTATAGTGTTTGTTACCTTTCTGTATAGTGTTTGGTACCTGTCTGTATGGTGTTTGTTCCCTGTCTGTATGGTGTTTGTTACCTTTTTGTATAGTGTTTGTTACCTGTCTGTATAGTGTTTGTCACCTGTTTGTATAGTGTTTGTTCCCTGTCTGTATAGTGTTTGTTACTTGTTTGTATGGTGTTTGTTACCTGTTTGTATAGTGTTTGTTACCTGTTTGTAAGGTGTTTGTTACCTGTCTGTATAGTGTTTGTTACCTGTCTGTATAGTGTTTGTCACCTGTTTGTATAGTGTTTGTTCCCTGTCTGTATAGTGTTTGTCACCTGTTTGTATAGTGTTTGTTCCCTGTCTGTATAGTTTTTGTTACCTGTTTGTATAGTGTTTGTTACCTGTCTGGATAGTGTTTGTTACCTGTTTGTATAGTGTTTGTTACCTGTTTGTATGGTGTTTGTTACCTGTCTGTATCGTGTTTGTTACCTGTCTGTATAGTGTTTGTTTCCTGTTTGTATAGTGTTTGTTACCTGTTTGTATAGTGTTTGTTACCTGTTTGCAAGGTGCTTGCCCATTGTCTGTTGGCACATGTTAGTACAATGGCCGTCCACTTCACCCTCTCAGCCATGTGTTTATTTCTGTAACAGAATTGTCCTGACAATAAACCTTATATCAAACCCAGTTTGTCTCTCAAGTCATGTTGATCTGTCTTTAATCATTTAATCTAAAATCAAAACATTAGTCCTTTTATCAATTTGATTTCAAATATATCTGTTCAATATAAAAAGAAAAGGTTAATTAAACTAAACGAGAAAACAAATGCTCATTTTTTTTTTACTAAATTTAAGAATTACACTTTCAATATTTTGTAAGTGTAATGAAAAGGCCATTTGAATTGTATTTAGTAAAAAAATGATATCATGGTGGGAATTAATTAAAAACGCCACAGCCAATTCTGTCTTTGCGTATTGCAGAATTATATTCACTTATGAGCAGGTATTGATTGTTATGTCATTTGTTTGTGAGAGTAACGTCATTAATTTTTGAGAAAAAAAAACAATTTTCTCACACAAACCAATGACGTAACAATCAATAGCTACTCACAAGAGAAGATAACTCTGCAATACGCAAAGACGGAATAAAGAGGACTGGGTTGCCATCTTGGATTTTCAATGACTCAATAAAAACAGTAACATCGCCTGTTCTGGACCATGAAAGCTTGATTCGTATCAAGCAGGATTACAGTTGGCCTGGTGGAAATTGATTAGATGAAATCATCTCAGCCAATCAGATGACCGACAGTCATCTTTGATTGTGAATTTACTCATTTACCCCTGAAGACACATTTGAACTCAAAGGTTAGAATAGTTCATTATAACAGGGGAGAATGAGTTTATCCAAACAAATAAACTTCATTCGTATCAAGAGCGGAATATTTGCAAGTATGTACCACTGTTATAGATATTAAAGCTGTAAACTTCAAAGTCAATTCACTTGTTTCACCAGTGATCAGACATATAGCCAATTTGAGTTTCTCAAAAGGTCCTGTCACTGGCCTGTGTCCAGCACTTCGTTTGTAAGTATAGGGGCAATATAAAACCATGTGTCAGGTATACCACATACAATGTATATACAGCCCAGTACAATTTACTTATATACCTGCCCATATCTAAAATGTCAGGCCATTGTAATCTACTTCACTGATGTTAAGACACATGCACTAAAAGCTATATTTATGTACATACCAATAGATAAAAAGTCTGTAAGGAAAGCTCTGGTCACATGTAAAATCCTGGTGCGTACACTCTACAACACAATCCAGAATATTACTGTGTTACACTCACTAACACAATCCAGAATATTACTGTGTTACACTCTCTAACACAATCCAGAATATTACTGTGTTACACTCTCCAACACAATCCAGAATATTAATGTGTTACACTCTCCAACACGATCTAAAATATTACTGTGTTATACTCTCTAACACAATGCAGAATATTACTGTGTTACACTCTCTCACACAATCCAGAATATTACTGTGTTACACTCACTAACACAATCCAGAATATTCCTGTGTTACACTCTCTAACCCAATCCAGAATATTACTGTGTTACACTATCCAACACGATCTAGAATATTACTGGGTTATACTCTCTAACACAATCCAGAATATTACTGTTACACTCTCCAACACAATCCAGAATACTACTGTGTTACACTCTCCAACACGATCCAGAATATTACTGTGTTACACTCTCTCACACAATCCAGAATATTACTGTGTTTCACTCTCTAACACAATCCAGAATATAACTGTGTTATACTCTCTAACACAATCCAGAATATTTCTGTGTTACACTCTCCAACACAATCCAGAATGTTACTGAGTTACACTCTCCAACACAATCCAGAATGTTACTGAGTTACACTCTCCAACACAATCCAGAATGTTACTGAGTTACACTCTCCAACACAATCCAGAATGTTACTGTGTTACACTCTCCAACACAATCCAGAAAATTACTGTGTTACACTCTCCAACACAATCCAGAATGTTACTGAGTTACACTCTCCAACACAATCCAGAATGTTACTGAGTTACACTCTCCAACACAATCCAGAATATCACTGTGTTACACTCTCCAACACGATCCAGAATATTACTGTGTTACACTCCACAACACAATCCAGAATATTTCTGTGTTACACTCTCTAACACAATCAAGAATATAACTGTGTTATACTCCACAACTCAATCTAGAATATTACTGTGTTACACTCTCAACACAATCCAGAATGTTACTGTGTTACACTCTCCAACACAATCTAGAATATTTCTGTGTTACACTCTCCAACACAATCTAGAATATTTCTGTGTTACCCTCTCCAACACAATCCAGAATATTACTGTGTTACACTCTCCAACACGATCTAGAATATTACTGTGTTATACTCTCTAACACAATCCAGAATATTACTGTGTTACACTCTCTAACACAATCCAGAATATTACTGTGTTACACTCTCTAACACAATCCAGAATATTACTGTGTTACACTCTCTAACACAATCCAGAATATTACTGTGTTACACTCTCTAACACAATCCAGAATATTACTGTGTTACACTCTCTAACACAATCCAGAATATTACTGTGTTACACTCTCTAACACAATCCAGAATATTACTGTGTTACACTCTCTAACACAATCCAGAATATTACTGTGTTACACTCTCTAACACAATCCAGAATATTACTGTGTTACACTCTCTAACACAATCCAGAATATTACTGTGTTACACTCTCTAACACAATCCAGAATATTACTGTGTTACACTCTCTAACACAATCCAGAATATTACTGTGTTACACTCTCTAACACAATCCAGAATATTACTGTGTTACACTCTCTAACACAATCCAGAATATTACTGTGTTACACTCTCTAACACAATCCAGAATATTACTGTGTTACACTCTCTAACACAATCCAGAATATAACTGTGTTACACTCTCTAACACAATCTAGAATATTACTGTGTTACACTCTCCAACACAATCCAGTTGATTGAGATAATGTTTAGAAGATGCTAATAATAATTGATTCAGACTAAATGCCTGTACATGTCCTTGTATTCTAAAGAAGTTAGGTGAATGAAGCAAAAATTTACCTTCTTTACTCGACTGAAAAGACAAAATTGTTAGTTAGAAGTTCAACGACCGCTACCACTAAAACAGAATGTTGCACATCTAAAGATTTCTTCCTTTTTGATTAAGAATGTCGGCCGTGGTGGCTAAGTGGCTAAGGCATCTGACATTCTGCTACCATTAGCCCTCCACCACTGGGTCGCGGGTTCTAGACCTACATAGGGCAGTATTGTTCATAAGGAGTATCAAACTATGTTTTCATGAAGAATTCTGTAGCAAAATTATGAAAGAAAATTCCCATAACTATATTGTCCCTTTAAGGCAGATGTCTTCGTAAAGAAATGGTCATCAAACAAGTTCAATATATTACATTTGTGTAGTTGAACTTGACTGGATCGATCATCATCGACCAGGTAGACCGTCCATCTAGAGTTCAGAGTGCCCTGAGTTGGAAACCCTGGTCTAGCCGTGCATTTTTCCATCTCCTGTTACTAACGAATATATATATATGAAACATACATATATTCATTCTGCTGATTGAGCTATATAGCTCTAAAGACCCATACTAGGTCTCTTGAGCTATTTTCAAGTGATTTTCTTTTTTAAGGAAAACGAAACAAAATCGCTTTTTAAAGAAGATTGTATCATTAGGTTGATAACAAAAGACATTAATTATAAGTATTCTTTTTAAAATAATGATGTAAAAAAATCGGAAATTTTACATTTATGAAAAATGAAAATAAACATCTAACTGTATGCTTTTTGTGGTCAACATTACCATAATAAACCTTTTTGGTTTTTGCGACTTTGCTTTAATTTAATGAAAATTGAAATTTTAGAAAATATAGCTCAATACAGCTTTAATTTATAGGTAAATATTGCTATATAGGTAGAGTGTACTAGACCTGATAAGGGTCTTTGAANGGGGGGGGGGGGGGGGGGGGGGGATTTAGGGTGACTACAGTATCTTTTATGGGTCGTGCTTGTTGAAACTTACACGGGATACGACAAAATTTTCATTTGCTGTTTGGTTCTCTTACAAAGAAGGGATACATGACAAAACTAGTACGCACGCGAGAATCGAGAAACAATGTGCTACAGAAAAGATGACCATTTCCTCTGGAGTACCATACTAAATATTATTAGAACAACAGCTACAATGTCACACCACGTTTATATCGCCAATTATCCCATGTACTTACTGTTTCTTTATTCTTGTGACGCTGAATTGTTTACTGATACCTTTGTTTTGACGTGCTGGACACAACGTTTACTTCACAGACTGAAACTTACACCGTTCATGTGTCCTACACACGAGTGTTTGTTTACCTTATTTGTAATAATCAGGAGAGTTCCTTTCAAGCCTTTCAAAGAGTTATCGTTCCTATCACATGCAAGATAGGTAAAATATTTCTATATATTACAGAAAATGCTGGCATTACCAAATATTTATTTGAATAAATTTAAAATCAACATATCTTATTTAATCGAGTTTGTAAATATCATTAACTAACAAAGAACTTGATCGCATGTACTTACAACAAATTACGAGTTATCTCCCGTTGAACAATATGTTCACGGGTTTTTTTCCGGCCAAACTTAAATAAAATAATCTAACTTTTCAGACTAAGGCCTATGACCACATTCATGAACACTCCACTTTAAACGATCTGTTTGTCATTCAAACCTTATTTACCCAACACTTCCTAACTCAAACATCGATTTACCCAATACTTCCCAATTCAAACATCGATTTACCCAATACTTGCCAATTCAAACACCGATTTACCCAACACTTCCCAACTCAAACATCGATTTAACCAACACTTCCCAATTCAAACATCTATTTACCCAACACTTCCCAACTCAAACACCGATTTACCCAATACTTTCCAACTCAAACATCGATTTACCCAATACTTTCCAATTCAAACATCGATTTACCAAATACTTCCAAATTCAAACACCGATTTACCCAACACTTCCCAACTCAAACATCGATTTACCCAATACTTTCCAATTTAAACATCGATTTACCCAATACTTCCCAACTCAAATATCGATTTACCAAATACTTCCCAACTCAAACATCGATTTACCCAATACTTTCCAATTCAAACATCGATTTACCCAATACTTCCCAACTCAAACATCGATTTACCCAATACTTCCCAACTCAAACATCGATTTACCCAATACTTCCCAATTCCAACATCCATTTACCCAATACTTCCCAAATCAAACATCCATTTACCCAATATTTCCCAATTGTTTGGGAAAAGAAATTAAAGAAATACAGAAGTTATTGTTATTTGTAGCAAGCAGCACCTGTCAATCCAGTATTCTCAGTTTCAATGTTTTTCGCAGTCATCGTGCCACGTTTTTTGTATATTAAGGTTGACGTCAGCCACGTGCAGAGACCCGTGGTGTGATTGTCTGGAAACGCAGCCAGTTTTTCGCTTATAACCAACCAACCATGCATGCTTCGGCACGAGACTAACGTCAACCTCATTAATATACAAAATAAGTGGCACGATGACTGCGAAAAACTTCTGAAATGGCGTGTGTTTTTGGAGGAAACGGAGATCATGTCTGCGGAATGAGTATTTTATGTGTATAAAGGATTTTTTTTAAAAGAAAAATTATCCATCTGAGCATGTTTCCGTAGAAATGTTGTTTTTGATGCAAGAAAGTTAGGTGGGGTCGACTTTTCGACACCGAAGGCATTATGGTGTCATTTTTACCGAAAGTCTATCTAAGCCCATAAACATGTAAAATTACGCTGAACACATTAGTTTAAGTCCAAAAAAAGCTGTAAAAAATTCGTAGGTCTCTGTGGTACTATTCTCGTCTGTTAAAGTTCTATGTAACAGATCAGACAGAAGACTACTTATACTGAGCGCACAGGGTCCTGAGAATTTGTTCAGTAGGTATGTTTAGACCTAATAATTTGTTACTGCAGGTATTTTTATACCTATCCTCATAAAAAACGAAACAAACATGCGGTAGTAATGCTAACTATAATGACGGTGATCATTTTAGTGTTTATACTAACACTTTACACGCTTTGTATTTATATCTTCTCATTAGAAAAGGACCGCACATACCCTTTATAACATATCCTCAAGTCCCTGTGATTGAACGTAACAGATGCTGACCTAGTTGTCTGGTCTAGCCCATACCAACACTCAACCACGCACCGTTTAGTAACTACGTCATTCCACTGGTGTGTGCAAAACACATGCATTGTCTAAAAGCTCTTCACTCAATTGTAGCATTAACATGAATATATAGCATAGTGGCACACCCTTTGATACTCTCGTGTATTATAGTATTTAGATACCCTCGTGTATTATACCTTTGTGTACAATTTGTGATGATACCCTCGTGTATTATAGTATTTATAGATACCTTTGTGTACAATTTGTGAGGAGACCCTCGTGTACTTTAGTATTTTGATACTCTCCTGTATTATAGTATTTATAGATTCCTTTGTGTACAATTTGTGAGGATACACTCGTGTACTTTAGTATTTTGATACTCTCCTGTATTATAGTTTTTATAGATACCTTTGTGTACAATTTGTGAGGATACCCTCGTGTAGCAAAGTATTAAGATACTTTCGTGTAGTATAGTATTAAGATGCAATTGTTTATCATTGTATTTAGATACCTTTGAATATTATAGTATTTACATTCATTAGTGTGTCATAATTTTCATATTCTCATGTATCTTGATATTTTCATTCCGATGTGTATCAGAAATTAAATACATTCCTGGTGTTTAAATCCCCTCGTGTATCGTAATGTTTGAATCCCCTCGTGTATCGTAGTGTTTAAATCCCCTCGTGTAACGTAGTGTTTAAATACCATCGTGTATCGTAGTGTTTAAATCCCCTCGTGAATCGTAGTGTTTAAATTCCCCTGGTGTATCGTAGTGTTTAGATACCATCGTGTATCGTAGTGTTTAAATAACCTCGTGAATCGTAGTGTTTAAATACCATCGTGTATCGTAGTGTTTAAATACTCTCGTATATCGCAGTGTTTAAATACCATCGTGTATCGTAGAGTTTAAATCCCCTCGTGTATCGTAGTGTTAAAATAACCTCGTGTATCGTAGTGTTTAAATCCCCTCGTGTATCGTAGTGTTTAAATACCATCGTGTATCGTAGTGTTTAAATACCATCGTGTATCGTAGTGTTTAAATTCCCCTGGTGTATCGTAGTGTTTAAATACCCTCGTGTATCGTAGTGTTTAAATCCCCTCGTGTATCGTAGTGTTTAAATACCATTGTGTATCGTAGTGTTTAAATTCCCCTGGTGTATCGTAGTGTTTAAATACCCTCGTGTATCGTCGTGTTTAAATCCCCTCGTGTATCGTAGTGTTTTAATCCCCTCGTGTATCGAAGTTTTTCAATCCCCTCGTGTATCGTAGTGTTTAAATCCCATCGTGTATCGTAGTGTTTAAATCCCTTCGTGTATCGTAGTGTTTAAATCCCCTCGTGTAGCGTGGTGTTTAAATACCATCGTGTATCGTAGTGTTTAAATCCCCTCGTGAATCGTAGTGTTTAAATCCCCTCGTGTATCGTAGTGTTTAAATACCATCGTGTGTTGTAGTGTTTAAATCCCCTCGTTTATCGTAGTGTTTTAATCCCCTCGTGTATCGTAGTTTTTCAATCCCCTCGTGTATCGTAGTGTTTAAATCCCATCGTGTATCGTAGTGTTTAAATACCATCGTGTATCGTAGTGTTTAAATCCCCTCGTGTATCGTAGTGTTTAAATACCATCGTGTATCGTAGTGTTTAAATCCCCTCGTGTATCGTAATGTTTAAATACCATCGTGTATCGTAGTGTTTAAATACCATCGTGTCTCGTAGTGTTTAAATACCATCGTGTATCGTAGTGTTTAAATACCATCGTGTATCGCAATACTTAAGTAGCAACGACCAATGATGTGTGCGTCGCTGTTAGTTTCCGACATCCTGTTGATAAGAAGAGAAAACTTAAATGTGTCCCAATTTTATATTTACTACGTTGTGGTTGATGAAACTCCAATAATTTACATATCGATGACATGTTATTTTCTCCTATTTCAGCATCGCCATTTCCTCGCTAATTTATCATTAAGCGGCAGGTTCCTGAAGTATATGGAATATTACCGTTTAACGACCCGACCTCAATGACAAAGCACTCGCCTGTATCTTGTTTGAAGTTAGTCAATATAAGTCTGCCAACTTGTTGTGTGTTGATATAGATACACAGAAAGGCAGTTCCCATAAGTTCCTGATCCGACCATTCCCATCCTTGGTTGGTTCGGTTTATTGGGGTTTGTGTCTGTTAAATTATTTTTTCGAATGATTATATCATATTACAAATGACAAATTTACTATATCTATGCTGATTATTGTCAAATAATCAAAAGGCCTGATACTGCTAGCTTATAATCTTTGCCCTAATATGTTAACAACATAAATTTATTGTAATATATATGTATAATAATTTTGATAATTGATGTTTATTTGATGATTGTATTGTGCTGCTCTATCATTATAATCTTCATTTTGGAGGAAATAAAGGAGTATATAGTTATTTATGTACACATTAAAATAACGATACCTTTGTACTCTGTTGATTAATTCTTACGTAACTGTTCTGTTTATGTAATCTTCATTTTGGAGGAAATAAAGAGAATAATAATGACAAAGCACTACGCCTGTATCTTGTTTGAAGTTAGTCAATATAAGTCTGCCAACTTGTTCTGTGCCATCCTTGGTTGGTTTGGTTTATTGGGGTTTGTGTCCACCTCTTAATGGCTACGATTATTTAAGGACGTACCTCCGTGTTTGTAATGCATGCCTGTGTGCTGGAGCGGAACATTGGTAGTATATTGCCAATCGTAGAGTGCTACCTCACTGAAATACCATACAGAAAACAAAGTAAGCCCCTAACCTCAATCCACCCCATCTCCTTTTCGAAATCCCGAACTTATGACTCCTCTGATTAGACTTATTTCTTTTTATATCAGAAAGGAATGAACCGTTCCCGAACCTAGATAAGGATGCGCTGACCACAAACATCCTAGGTTTCTCCGATTGTGACCCCTTCCTGATCGACCAAATATTAACCATTGCTACCGAACGACTCCGTATTTGAGACCATTATTGGATGTTAAAGGTAACGATACCCGGGAATACGTTCCCGAGCGACTCTGTGAAATTAAAAAGTTACATATATCAGAAACAATAAGAGCTTAATTGAATTATCTGTACCGTTTGCTCGCGAACTTCCTAATCGGGGAAATGAAGAATTTAAAAATATAATAA